AGGACCCTCTCGTGGGACGTCACCACAGAAGACTGCTTAGACATGGGCTTCGCCAACAGAAAGTCTATTAGCTGGCCTGGTGGACTACACTGGGTGCTTGGCATCCCATTGTAACACCGAGACTGTCTCAGGGTGAGCTTTTAAACACAGAAATTGTATTCTGGACTGACATACTTTAGTTAGCAAGGGCAGTTGGCCAGAAGTGGGACTATAGAAGCCAAAAAGCAAGGTTAATACATTTATAGAATTTCTCAGAACCATGGACTTGGATGGATTAGGTCTTTGCTTTTTGTTTTGGCAGGGAGTGCTGCTATATGCCAAGTTTCATGGCCTAAATGATAATTCCATCATAGAGTCAGTTGTGCTAAGAGCCCTCTTGTATTCTTCCCTCCCAGTCTCTTCCTGTCCAGCCTTCAATGTTCTGGAAGGTCATCATGGCCTGAGCTCAAGGGATCATCTGGTAGGTACTTCATAGGTAAGCATCATTTAGAGTCATTACCTAAGCCAGTGATGCCATTCTGTGTCCTGTTGTTTGAACCCAAGACTTGGAAATGTAAAAACAGCAATGGTGTTATTACAAATTGAGAATCCTTTCATCCCTTCATACTTGGACAGTTTTAAATTATTTTTGTGTATGGGTGTTTTGCCTGCATGTATGGCCTGATGTCCATGGAGGCCAGAAGAGAGCCTCAAATCCCCTGGAACTAGTGTTACAGATGGCTGTGTGCCACCATATAGCTGCTGGCAATGGTCCTGAATGAAGAGCAGCCAGTGTTCTGCTGCTGAGCTGTATCTCCAGTCCCTATAAGAGACAGCTTTACTGGCAGTGAGGGCTTTTAGTTTTCTTCCTTGCCTTTGGCAGGACTGGAATGGGGACACGGGAAATGCAGCTGCTCAGTGAGGTCCCCTTAAGCCATTAGACCCAGTCACACACATCTGAGACTTGTGTGAAGCCTGCATGCACCCCTGTTCCTGCAGGGCTGGTTATGTACAGTAGCTGACTCCCACGTTGGTGGTGGCTAGTGTTCTGCTTCTATGATGCACTCTTGGAATGTCCAACTGGCCTTGTCACTGTGGGCTTGGTGTCTGTGCCTGCCCTCTTCTTCATAGCCATATACCTGTTTTCCAGTTTGCCCTTCCACACTCCATCTGTCACATGCCGATGCACTCACCCACTACCATCTCTCAACCCCAGCACTGTTCCTTCTCTGATGATGGACTTTTGTCTTCCACCCTTCCTGTGGCAGTCAGAGGAAAATTCTTTTGCAAGTCAGTTCTGCCGTTTGAGTTTCAGGAATGGAACTCAGTTCATCAGGCTTAGAAGCAAGCACCTTCACTTGCTGAGACATCACCCAGCCAGGGTACTTTAAAAAGTGTTTATATATATTTGAAACGGGTTCAGACTGTAGAAGGCCAGTTCCCAGATCTGCTCCAGGGTAATAAAAAGAAAGCCTCAGAGTAGCAGAGGTTTAGGGGAAAAAATGGTTGTTTATTTATGACACCCCAATCCCAGTTCCACCACCCTCCTCACCTTCTTCCCTCCCCATCTCCCTCCCACTCCACCTCTCATCTGCTCCTCAGAGAGGGTAAGGCCTCCCCTAGGAAGTCTACTAAGGCTGTCCCATCATTGTACCTAAGTCTGTACCTCATTGAGGCAGGACCAACCCCCATCCCACTCTGCAACCTTGTCTAGGCTGAGCCAGGTATCCCTTCATAGAGGATGGGCTCCACAAAGTCAGTTTATGTATTAGGGTTAGATCTTGGTCCACTGCCAGTGATCTCATATATTGCCCAAGTCACACCATTGTCACCTATATTCAGGGGCCTAGTTCAGTCCTAAGTTGGTTCCCCAGTTGCCAGTGTGGAGTCTGGGATCTCTCACTAGCTCAGGCCAGCTGATTCTGTGGGTTTTCCTATCATGGTCTTGACTCCTTTTTTCATATTATTGTTTCTCCCTCACTCCGATTGTATTCCAGGAGCTCTGCCCAATGATTAATTGTAGATTGCTCCATCTACTTCCATCTGTTTCTGGAAGAGGAACTTAAGGTTCTCTGGGGTTGTGGATTGTAGGCTGGTTAATACTTTGCTTTATGTCTGGTATTCACTTATGTGTCAGTACATACTATATTTGTCTTTCTGGGTCTGTGTTACCTCACTCAGGAATTTTTTTTCCTAGTCCCGTCCATTTGCCTGCAAATTTAAAGATGTCATTGTTTCTTATTGCTGAGTAGTACTCCATTGAGTAAATGTATCACATTTTATTTATTTTTTTGGTTGAGGGCCATCTAGGTTTCAAGTTCTAGCTATAATGTTACTATGAATATAGTTGAGCAAAAGTCCTCCTGGTATGAGAGGTATGGAATGCCTCCTTTGGGTATATGCCCAGCAGTGATAATTGCATGGTCTTGAGGTAGATTGATTCCTAATTTTCTGAAAAATCATCATACTGATTTCCATAGCAGCTGTACAAGTTTGCACTCCTGCCAGAAGTGGAGGAATGTTTCCCTTACTCCACATCCTCTCCAGCATAAGCTGTCATTAGTGTTTTTGATTGGTGTAAGATGATTATCTCAGAGTTGTTTTGATTTGCATTTCCCTGTCTTTTGACCATTTGAGATTTCTTTGTTGCTAGTTCTGTTTAGATCTATATCCCATTTTTCATTTAGATTATTTGGTAGCTTGATGTCTATAGTTTCTTGAGTTCTTTGTATATTTTGGAGATCAGCCCTCTGTCAGATGTGGGGTTGGTGAAGATCTTTTCCCATTCTGTAGGCAGCCATTTTGTCTTGTTGACTGTTTTCTTTGCTTTACAGAAGCTTCTTGGTTTCAGGAGGTCACATTTATTGCTTCTCTGTATATGTGCTATTGGTGTTTGTTCTATTTAGGAAGCGATCTGTGCCAATGTGTTCAAGGCTACCTCCCACTTTCTCATCTATGAGGTTCAGTGTGGATGGATTTATGTTGAGGTCTTTGATCCATTTGGACTTGGGTTTTTTGCCTGGTGAAAGATATGGATCTATTTTGCATTCTTCTACATGTCAATATCCAGTTTTACCAGTACCATTTGTTGAAGATGTTTTCTTTTTGTATTTTTAGTTTCTTTGTCAAAAATTAGGAGTTCATAGTGTGTAGGTTATTATCAGCAGCCCACCTGTCTTTTTTTTTTTTTTAAAGATTTATTTATGTATTATGTGTACAGTGTTCTGTCTGCATGTATCCCTGCAGGCCAGAAGGGGGCACCAGATCTCATTATGGATGGTTAGTCACCACGTGGTTGCTGGGAATTGAACTCAGGACCTCTGGAAGAACAACCAGTGCTCTTAACCTCTGAGCCATCTCTCCAGCCCCTACCTGTCTGTTTTAATGCCAGTACCAAGCTGCTTTCATTACTACAGCTCTATAATAGAGCTTGAAGTCAGGGATGATGATGCCTCCAGATGTCAGGAAAAAAAATTCTTATCATTTTAGGCCTTTAGGAGAAAAACAGGCTTACTTGCTCTGAAGGTAACTTTATTATTGCTTCTTAAAATTTTCTCCTGTACACAACTTCCTAATTAGCTCTACATCCTTATCCTTTGCTCCTTACTCCCCCACTGCTCTCTGCTGCTTCTGCTCTTCCTTTTAACCAAAACTCTGCACAATTATACATTACGTCTTTAGGGCTCGCCTGACCCATTCTCGTAACACATAAGTCATGTAGTTTCTCTTAGGCTAGCAATGTCACATTGGCCCATGTATGTAGCTCTGAGTTGGTGAGGGTTCCCAGACAGAAAAATGACATTAGAATTCAAGACTTAATAACAATTAGCTGGATCTTGATTGGTAGGGATTAAATGCAGACTGAAGTTACTGCCTTGAATCGGTAAAATGCCACGTGGGAAAATGACCTTGTGTATTGTCTCCCAGGACAACCAGCCTGCTTCGAATCTGCTGTGAAGTCTAAAGTTAGCTGTGTAAAAGGCTGTCTTTGTTGACTGAGAATCCTATGTCAGTCTGGGTAATATAAAATTTCCCAGTATTATTTCTTCAGAATTATACAGATTAAGCAGAAGCCATCCTCCTGACCACCCACAGCTATATGTATGCCCAATAAGTATAAAACACACCACTAAAGGATCTGTGGAAAGAACACCACAACTGTTGTTACTAGGGAGGTAAGTAATAGCACTTGAGAACTTTACAGACAGGAACAACCAGTCATTCATAGTCAATAACCTATGGCTTTGCCAAGTAGGACTTCCCAGCGTCTAGTGGATTGACTTGTTAAATACTAGTTGTCACTTCTGTACAGTCCCACGGCCCTCTGCATGGAACAAATCTTGCCACATGGCTCAAGTTAGCCTCAAAACTTGTGGCAGTCCTGCCTCAACCTCCTATGCCTGGGGTAGTAGGTGTGCTGCTGTGCATAGCCCATCTCTTCTTAAGATGAACCTGCAAGAGCCTTCCCGTGGTGTCCTTGACCCCTCTGGCTCCTACATTCCCTTCTCTTCCTCCTCTATAGGATTCCTGAGCCCCACCTAGTATTTGGCTGTGGGTCTCTGAATCTGCCTCCATCGGTTGCTAGATGATACCTCTCTGATGACAATTGGGCTAGGTACCAATCTTGTCACAAGAGACAGCCAGTTCAGGCTACTCATCCACTATTGCTAGGAGTCTAACCTAGGGTTCTCCCATAGATTCTGATCACAAAGCCTGAGCACAACTCCTGGAAGCAAAGATGTGAAATAGCTGCAGCCTACTGCAACAAATGGAATACAGGATTGCAGCAAAGCCAGTCTGGGATATATCCTAGGGGGGGAAATGTATTCAAGCAAACATGTCCATAGGCCTTCACAACAGCCAAAAGGTGGAAACAGCACACACTTGTGCATGAACAGAACAAAACAAGGACCATCCACACAGTGGACTGTCACTTGGCCATAAAAAAGAATGAAACTCTGACATAGGCTGCAACATGAAACCAAGAGGTGCTCATGCCAAGGGTATGACACGGGACCATGGCTGTGTGATTGCATTTAATAGGAAGTGTCCAGAACAGGGAAACCCATCGAGACAGAAAGCAGGTAAGGCTTGTCAGGGAAGCAGGGGAAGGTGAGGAAGAACTGCATGATGGGGCATGACCTATGCAGGCACTCTGTTCACAGCCACAGGGCTTAGGTCACAGGAACTGCATCTCCATTCAAACCCACATGCTCCCATGCTGGGGACACACTAGCTCTGCTGATGGACAGAGTCGGTATAGGGTTTGCCCTTCCCCATGCTGGAGCCTTCTCTAGGGAGGACACTTCCTGGCACCCCTCAGTCTTGTCACAGTTGTACTCTGTTCGTCTTCCCTGACTGACATCCCTCAATTCTTCCATGACACCAGAGGACACCCATGTAAGCTATTCAGGCTCGGATTCATTTAGGAAGCTGAGTGTTAGGAGGAAGGCTGGGCCTCTGCAGCTTGTGTAGACAGCGACCTGTTCATGCCACCTGCTGGACATGGGCATGGAGACTGGTCCACGTCCTTGAAAGCCAAGAAGCCCCAGCAGGAGAGATGGAAGCCAGTCCCGACTTCCAGGCTCTATTTCTGGTTCTTTTCATGGGCTGTCACGAAGTTTAGCAGGTCAATGGCAGTGACAACCCCAAACACCATCTGCCGCTCGCTGGACATGCCATTGCTGTGGTCTAAGGAAAGGAAACAGCTGCTGGATTAAAGGTGACTAGAGACAGAGTTGACCTGAGGCCACTTTTCCAGTCTCCAAACAGGAACAAAGTACCAGCCACTCGTGGCTCCACCTGAGCCATGTGGGTGGAGTCAGAGAGCAGGATGCTAGGTGCTGTCTAGAACAGAAAACCAGAAACCAACCCAGGCTCCCCACAAAGGATGGCCTGGCAGGTGCTTCCTCTCAGCCCATGCCCACAGGCATGTGCAGTGTCACTGCCAGGGCAAACATCAGGCCTTCTTTCTGTCCAGAGCCCTTCCTGGTACCCAGAGCCTATTCAGTTCAGCCCACCTGAGTCTGTCTGCAGACAGATTTCTCAGAGTGGAGCTTCCTGTCAGATTGGGCCTGGCCCTTTACCACAGGGCCTACAGGCAGAGAGGGCCATGTCAGTAGTTTTCTATCAGTTTAACAGGATATGGGGAGCCTAGACTTCTGTCAACAGAGTGATAGGGACATAGAGACTTTCCACCAGTAGGGATGTCACTGGCCTAGGACTTGCCCTAGTTCATCATTTTCAGGGTCTCTAGGCTAAGACTTGGCCTGCAACCCTTGACACATTGTCCACCTCTATAATAGTGGACTGAGCTTTTGTGCTAGATGCCCCCCCCCCCCCAGATACATGTCCTATCAGGCCTGTTCTCAGGAGAGCCATTGCTGGCACAGTCCTTGGGAGGCTCTGAATGCCACCCAGTGTCTAGAGACATAGGCCCCTTGGAAGAGACCCATCAGGGATAGCCATCTCACTGGCCTATCTGGAACCCTAGGAAAGGACAGGGAAACTCAGAATAATTCAGCTGCTGCATTTTGGAATCACCCAAGCAAAGGGACCACTTGATTGGCTCTGGGACTCCCATGGAGTGAGGACAGCAAGGTTCCAGTTAGACTGGCTGATTCTCCATGCAGGGTTTGGTGGGGAATGTTTTATGTCTATGACAACATTGCCCTGTCACTCCAGCTGCCCCTCCAGTTGGAATTCATGTTTTGTTTTGTTTCTGAGATGTTCAAAGACTGGGAGCCACCCCCCTTCCCCAAACCCAACCTCAGGGAATCCAAGGCCCAATGTTGGAAAGCTGTGATTGTGAACATTAGGGCCACTTCCTAGGGGCCGGGATGGGTGAGGCGTACATACCTGTAGGCCCCCCCACCACTCCTGACCAGGCCTGGTCTTGTGCTGTAGAGCCAAGGACGGGAGAGGGATTAGACATGGGGTCGCCCCCACATGCAGGCCAGCCTTGGAGCTAGATATAAAGCTCTCCCAGTTCTTTGGATTGAGGAATGAATATCAACATCTGTCACCCTACTGGGACCTGAGAGTGTCATCCCCACCTGCAGATACTGACATTTGGAAGGCTCTCTGAGAGCAAGAAGGACAGACTGTTTCATATTCAGAGACAAGTGTGGCTCACAAGCTGTCCTTTTGACAGACACACCCAGAACCTCCCTTCAGAGTACCCCTGGAGCCCATCAGAACCAATCAATATCTCCTAGCAATATGTCCTCGAGAGCTTTCACGGGTTTCTCTGGACAACCCCCAGCATCCTTAAAGACTGCCTGCTGTTTATGCCTGTGGGCCTGGAAAGGTACTATCTAAGGTGCTAGCTAAGCAAATGGCATGAGAGCTCACTGGATCATGACTGGATTGACCGGGTCATGGAGAGAGATTCAGGATGTAAAAAGCTATGATGGGAAGATGAGGATCATGGACTCCTCCTCATCACCCACTAGGAAACATGCCTGCCTAATGCACATAGCTCAAATGTGTACCATGCATGAGAGCCTGGGCCAGTCGTGGCCAATGTCAAGGGCTTAACACCCTCGCTCCCAATAAGAACCCAGCACCAAGTGGACCCCACTCACATTGGATCTGCTCATGGATCACCAGGGCGAAGTGGTCCATCTCCAGGATGTGGGATAGCATGCCCAGTGTGTCAGTTAGGTGGATCTGCAAGAGACAGACCCTCAGAGCTCCCAGCTCCCACAGACTTGAAGAAGGCCAGAGGCCTTCACCATAGCTGCTCAGATGAGTTTCAAGTAGAAAAAGGCCCTGCAGAGCTTAGAGCCATTTCTGTTATGGCAACCTGTCTGAATGTCAAATGGCTTGCCATTTGACTCTAACCCACAGCCTCTGCTCAGAGTCCAAGCTGGTGGATAGGCCACTGCTTGTGAGGTCTGTGGAGGAGAGCTGGAGCAAGAGTACAGAGGTTTTTACTGGCATGCACACAAAATCCATGTGGCAGCGTTGACTTTCAACTGAAGGGACCTTGAACCCCTTAAGCAAGCTATATAGTTTCCAAGGGCTGGTGTGGCTCAGGCACTCACCTCGGGCACAGCAAGCACTGTGCCCCACCTTGAAGGCCCAACTTGCTCTCACATTCCCATTTCCTGTCTGGAAAAATGCTCTTACCGGTTTGAACTGCTTGTAGAGGACTTTGCAGACTTCATCTGATGGCTGCACCTTCCCAGCAAGCAGGGATGATAGCATGTTCCCAAGAGTCACCATTCCCAGGATGGCCCTGGGAAGAGCATAAAAGGGGGGGGGGGGAGAAGAGGCAAGGTCAGAGGTCTCTGACCAACTCTGAAAAGCTTCAGCAGGCCTCAGCATGGCAAATATGTCTTTGGCAGGCCTTGCCCTTCCCCCAGGCCCTGGGCCTTGCCAAGCTGTTAGATTACATTCCTAAAGCTAGCCATTGAGGTCCATCCCCTTATTTGGCCACTGACTCACTGCTAAGACAAACCACCCACATCCACCTATGAAAGTATTGAATTCCAGCAGTCAGATGCCCCCTCTTGACTGCTCTAATTAATATGTCCAATCAAGAATAACCAATTCATCCTAACTTGGGGTTTCTCCCTTTCCCTTTAAAAATTGCCATTGGCCTATGGGCCACATCTGTCTCCTCTCTCTCCAGAGGGATCCTTTTCTCCCTCATCCTGTACCTCCTGTCTTTGTCTCTTAGCCACTGCCCTTTATCCCTCTGGGGTAGATAAATCTTGTGTTGAGAACTTGGTCTTGGGAGTCCTGAGCTGACTTCAAGGTCCTTTCAAACTTGACTCAGGAGCTGGAGAGATGGCTAGTGATCAAGAGCATTTGCAGAGGACCTGGGTTTGGTTCCCGGCACCCATGTGACAGCCCACAAACATCTGTAACTCCAGATCCAAATCTGGTATCTTCTGACTGCCACAAGCACTAGGCACACAGGTGGTGCACACACACACACACACACACACACACACACACACAGAGAGAGAGAGAGAGAGAGAGAGAGAGAGAGAGAGAGATAGAGAGAGAGAGAACACCCACACAGAGGCATAACAGTTGTATGGGTAAAAATACGGTTATGGGATGGAGAACAGACAGGAACAAGTAAGTTTACAAGTCCTGTGTTGTTTATGACCCCTCAGGGATCCATGGTGACTACCATCAGACTTTTGAAGCTGGATGTAGGGTCAGCCCACTGGCTCTCCCTCCCATGTACTTCACTTGTGTGCCACCCCCAGGGTTCCTGTCACCTGCTCCCTAGGGCAAGGTGGGCCTGCACACTAACAAGGAACTGGGGGGGGGAACAGAGCATTGAGGTCCCAAGAGGTAGTATGGTCTGATTTCAGCTGCTCAGGGACAAGAGGTCAGTAGGCTTTGGATGTTGTATGCAAAGTAACCACACTCAGCCATCACTGCCCATCCCATTTAGTGACATGGACACAAGCCTGGAGAGCAGGATCTAGGATCCTGGCATAGTCTAAAGACAGAACCCTGGACTGGGGGGTCGGGGGGATTCTGAGACTGACCCTGACTCGTTGACCACAGGTGCCTGGTCAAATCCTTTCTCTCGGAGGATGGTGATGGTGTGCTCACAGGTGACTGTGGGCAACACAGTCAATGGTGCTGACAGGTTCAGATCTTGAACACGCAGATGCCACCACCTGAAGGACGGGGCAGAACAAGGCAGGAGATAGGGCTGAGAGAGAGCCAGTATGGTGGGAACCTGGAAGGCCACCTTTGTGGATCTTCCAGGGGTGACAGCCAGGCAGCATCCTTACCAAGGCCTCTTCACTGAGAGTTCCTCCTTCATGAAGCCCTTCTGCAGCATCCACTTGTCACTCAGGAACTTGGACCTGCAGGGTCAGGGTGTCACTGGGGCCTCTGTACCCAGTGGGAGGTACATACATGACCAGGGATGGAGTTTCTGAGGGCCTTGAAACTGCTTTGAACCTTACTGTTTCAGCGTATGTCGAAGGGATGGCAGAGCTCCAGGGTGGCAGAGGACTGAGGGTTACTGGGCATCTAGGCTAAATGAACCAAGGAGGTAGGCTCTGGAGCCTGTGTAGTCAGGACCCTTCCTGCAGGTTCCTGAGCAGCCTCCTCCTTGAACCCCCAGGTTTACCTCAACAGAGGGAACATTTCCCATTCTGACCAAAGGCTGCTGAACAGGCTACAGAGCTGCTAGGATCTATCCAGGGAGGCAAACTGAGGAGCAGTGGTGGTCAGGCTGTGAGCTATAGAATAATTGTTTGTGCTGAGCTAGGCAGGGCCAAGCATGGTACACAGGCATCCTGCTGGCTTCCAGGTAGGATGACAAGCAACCCCAAAGGCCATCCATCTCTCCAGCACATGGCTGGCCTGTTGTGTGTACGCATTTGTGTGTACATGGTTCTGTTCTATGCTAGTGCATGCGTGTGCTCTAGGGGCCAGAAGCACTTGAGGATTTTATGTGAGAGTACATGGGTATGTACTTCACATTGGTGCTTACAGGCTGTGGAGAATGTTCAAGAGACGAGGAACCACTCTTGTTGCCCATAAGGCCTGCTGCAGAGTAGTTCCCTCTTGTTCAGCCAGGAACCCAGGCAGTTGACAATACTTCAAGCCTGCTGGTACAGGTAGCCAGGCAGGGAGCTGGGATTGTCCTGAGTGCAGATATCAATCCCAGCAAAGCCTCAGGCTACCGAGCTAGCACATCACACCGCAAGAACCCAGCCAGGGTACACTCACCCTCCCAGATCCAGTTAGGACAGCTGATGAGGCAGCAGAGCTGGTGAGCAGAAAGCAAACTAGGATCTCCCCGGTCCCGCGGCCTCCCCATGAAAACACCAGTACAGTTTAGCCCGTGGCACCCAGAAATTCAATGATGTAATGAAGAGAAACCCAAGAGACAGGGACAGAGGGGTATATATGGGACATAACTGTCCACCAGAGCTGTCGCCATGGACACATACACACACACACACACACACACAAAGACTCAGGACAGAACCATGCAAAGTGAACCCTGACTTTGAAGACATGGGGAATCCTGCAGCTAGCAGTCTTACAAGGCCCAGCTCTCCACTACCCTTTCCCAGCATCTCACAGTTAGCACTTAGGTGATAGCTACCAGGAGGGTGAAGGGGACCAGGGGTGTGTCTTACATGTAGTTCCGCACAGAGTCGGGCAGGATGACCACACAGCGCTGTCCTTTCTGTAGCTCCTGGGCGGCCTTCACGGCCACAGCCATAGTGCTGCCTGAGCTTCCACCTACCAAGAGGACCTGTCAGGACCCACATGCTTGTGTGTGCAGTCATATACATGAACTCATATGCATGAATAACCCATACATCTGTGCCAACACTCTAGAAGGCTCTGGGGGAGCCATTCAGGCATGCATTGCACAAATGCCCACACATGCTCTGGAAGGGTTCATATGTTCTATGGAAGGATCTGTGGACTCTCTGGACAGAGGACAGGCCTTAAATGGCTCTATTCCTCCCCATCAAATGGAGCTTGCATAATTAAACACTCAATGGGTAAATTGAGACCCGGGGCAATCATGCTCAGCCAGAAGAGTGGCTCTTGGTTCCCCAAGCTAAAGCCTGACCCCAAACCAGGAGCCAACCATTGACTGCTCATAGCCACCATGCAAAGCAAGTAGGTGACACCAGGTCTCACATAGTGAGAGTCCCAGGTTCACCGACACTGACCATATAGGGCCCTGGCACCTCCAGGGAGAGACAAAGATACTGTTGCTGCCTCTCCTTTGGGGCTCCTCCGGACTCAGCCTAAGAAGGTGCAAGTCAGTCAGAAAGGTTAATCTAGTGCTTCTCACAGAGGACTATGGTCCTGCCACTCATCTCTCAATGCCCAGGTTTATACCACTTACACTGAGTGCAGGGTATAAACTCACTGAGAGCCCAAGTCACAAGTCTCCTAGTGGTCATGCTAAAAGTTCTTGTCAGTCATCATGACTTATTCTGGCTGTCCAGTAGAGCCTGGCTGTTGAGGACCCAGCCATGCTGGGGCTGCATTCCCCTGCCCCATCCCAACATGACTCAGAACAGATGGGCCCACATGTATAGGATAAGTTTGAGCATGCTTGGTGTTCTCCAATCTCAGGTCTAACTCAAGCTGCTGGAGCCTTTGCTGCCCCATGGTCAGGCAGTGATAGCCTATCCATCCTGAGCAGATGACTAAGAAGCCCAGGGTGGGAGGAAGGCTGCAGAGGTCGCTTCTGGATGTGCCTCATCTGCACAGACAACTATGAGGGCAAGAAATACTGCTCCCTCGGGACTCCCTCGCCAACCCCTTCAGGGGACTGGGACCCAGCACGCCTAGCTCTGAGCTGCTGCAAATTGAGCCCCCATTTCAGGCATGGGGCTGTTTATGAATGAGGGAAAGAGACCACAAGAGCTTGCCTAAAAAACTAGCAGAGAAGATTGAAGCCTGGGCCCTCTGCCTCATGCTCTCATCTCCACAGGTAATTCTTGCAAAGGACAAACAAACAGCTAAGGAGGATGAGCCTGGGCAGATGGATGGGAAGTTACTGCAGTCACACAGCCTCAGAGTGTCCATGACTTCCATGCATTTGGAATAGGTAGTTCACATCCTGGACCGTCCTCTACCCAGCCACCCACAGGGCACGCTCAGTCACTCACCACACAGCAGTCCTTCCTGTGCAATGAGCATGCGGGCAAAGGCGAAGGACTCCTCATCATTGCTCTTGAACCACTTATCCACCACCTGTGGTGAGACCAGGTAGGGGCCTGGCGGTGAGCAGAGCAACCTCATGGAAGACTTCTTACCCCTGGGTCTGCAAATCTAGACTTATTTGTCCTTCCCTGCCCCATTATGCTTTGCAGAGTAACTTGGATCACCCACATGTTTATGGATCTGGTGGCCTCTGCTAACAGTGGCTGTCCCCCACACACCCTGGCCATCCTTGTCTGTCCTTCCTTTTGCATCTCAGAACCTGTGCAAGCAACACCAGGTGTGAGCCTGGACACAGCGATGCCCTTCACCCTGACTCAGCTCCTGTATCTGCAATCCCTATTCTGTCCTCTCAGATAGAGTGCCAGAACACAAAAGCAAGTTAAGGATCTGGCAGTAGCTTGTGGCTCTGCCTGGGGAAGCATTTTGGTCCAACCTACCGCCCTGTCCAGCACTGTCGGGATGAAGTCATAGCCAATCCCTTCCACCTCATAGGCTGTTTGATCCGTCTGGTTCAGTTCCTCGGGCTCCGCAAGGATGGACCCTTCAGGATCTACACCAATGATCTGCAGGGTGGACGGCTTTAGGACTCAGGCCAGGAGAAATGCAACCCAGCCTGAGGCAGCTGCCACTAGAAAGGATACTGTCCAGTAATATCTGCCTGTTAATGACTGGTTCATGGAATGCATGTGTGCTAGTCTCAGATTAGAGGAAGGGAAGGCCTGCAGAATCCCAGACAAGAAGCAGAAAGGCCATGACCTAGCGCAGGGTATTTGGAAAGATCCTCCCTGTACTGCTCTAGGAAAGATCCTAGTCATGGGCATTTGGAGAGCCTTTGGAGACAAAAGACAGCTCTGAACACTGGCATCTTCCTGGAGGGTGGACACTCTCACTGCAAGAAGATGCCCCTCCTCATCAGGCCTACCCCTAACCCAATGGTTCTCAAGCTTCCTGGTGCTGTAGCCCTTTAATACAGTTCCTCATGTTGTGCAGACCCTTCAACCATAAAGTTATTTTTGTTGCTACTTCATAACTGTAATATTGCTATTGTTATGAATCATAATTTAAATGTCTGATATGCAGGATATCTGTTGTGCAAGCCCAAAGGGGATCATAACCCACAGGTTGAGAACCACTGCCCTAACTCAAGGCAACTGAGGACTACTGGTGGCTTCTGGGCTAGTCCAAAGGGTTTCATCTCACTCAGAATAGGAGCCCGGAGGACCCTGTGTGCTCCAAGTTCCTCATGGGTGACTTGATACAACTATTTAAGACAGAAAGTGGAATAGGAATGTGGAGAAATCAGTTCCCAGGCAGAGAGACCTCCCAGCCTGATGCCAACAGCACTGAGCCTCTAAGCACATCTCAGGCCACAGGCAAGAGAGCAGGTCCAGGCCCACCCTCTCACCAGCCCATCTGTACTAGCACCAGCCACAGTGCCATACTCACTTTACACCCAGGACACTTCTCCTTCAGCTTCCTGGCAATACCTGTGATGGTGCCACCTGTGCCCACTGAAGCCACCAGCATGTCCAGCTTCCCTGGGGTGGGGGAGGACACATTCTCAGGTCACATCTCAGCCAGCCATCCACTCTTTTTTTGTTTGTTTTGGTTTTTCAAGACAGGGTTTCTCTGTGTGGCTTTGGAGTCTGTCCTGGAACTAGCTTTGTAGACCAGGCTGGCCTTGTACTCACAGAGATCCTCCTGCCTCTGCCTCTCGAATGCTGGGATCAAAGGCATGTGCCACCATCGCCCAGCCCTCTACTCTTAATGACCACTGGTGGAAATACTCACTGACCAGGCCAGGTCAGTGAGATAAACATTGTCTATCACTGCCTCCATCTGTAGAGAGCATGCCCAAGGCAGGGGCTGCTGTCTATACTGTGACCTTGGCCTTTAAACTACCAATGTAGCTGAATCTACAAGGATGAGTCATAGCTAGGCAGCTAAAAGTCTAGCAGAGGTTAAGCTGTCTGATTCTTGGGTGATTACAGATAAGCAAACTGTGTTTCTAGGATACAGGAAAAATGGCTGAAGCTAAGACTGAGAACTGGCCCAGGCTCTCTCAAGCTGCTGAGGGTCAGCTCATCACCAGGCAAGTCTGAGCTGGGCAACTCAGGAATGAAGCAATGTGTACCAACTCTGCCAAATGAGAATTCTCACTCATAAAACTGGGTAAGCAAATACCTGGGCTTTTATTGGCCAGCTCCTGGGCACAGAACAAGTCTGCACCCAGGCCAATGCCAACACCAGGTTCTAAGTGTGAAGCCAAGGGTGGGACCTTCCAGCACCTTCTCCCATGAGGTGCTCTTAGGTGTCCCATCAGCCCCAGGAGCTAGGCATGCCTAATGCCTATACTAGAGTAAGCTATCTACAGCTAACACCATGTAGCTCCAGAAGTAAAAAAAGAAAAACAAACTGAACATCAAACTCAGTGCAGCTAGCCGGGCATGTGGCATGTGGCGCATGCCTTTAATCCCAGAACTGGGGAGGCAGAGGCGGGAGGATCTCTGTGAGTTTGGTGCCAGCCTGATCTACAGAGTGAGTTACAGGAGAGCCAGGACTATACTGTCTCAAAAAAGCAAAAACAACCCTCCACACACACACACACAAGAAAAATGGGGTGCTGGAGGGATGTCTCAGAGGTTAAGAGCAATGGCTGCTCTTCCAGAGGTCCTGAGTTCAATTCCCAGCAACCACATGGCTCACAAGCATTTGTAATGAGATCTGGCTCCCTCTTCTGGCCTGCAGGCAAACATGCAGGCAGAACACTGTATACATAATAAATAAATCTTAAAAACAATAAAAATGAAATGCTCCAGTTGATCCTCAGCTGTGAGGCCAGCACCAGCATATGTCCAACAGCCCATACAGCCTAGAGGATGTGGGGGTGAGCACAGTCTGAACCTTGTAGTCTGGGACACAGGAGAGGCACAGGCAGAGGCCAAGAGGCCTCAGAGGAAGAACAGTGTCTCCAGAGACTGTCTTACAAAGATGGGGGTTTGTTTGGTTTGGTTTTTGTTTGTTTGGGTTTTGTTTGTTTTGTTTTCTGACATAGTGTTTCTCTGTGTAACAGTTCTGGCTGTCCCAGAACTTGCTCTATAGACCAGACTGGCCTTGAACTCACAGATCCGCCTGCCTCTGCCTCCTGAGTGCAGTGACTAAAGATGTGTGCCACCACTGCCTGGCTCGAGGGATTGTCTTGATTATATTAACTGATGTGGAAAGACCCAGCCACTGTAGGTGACACCGTTTACAGTAGGAAGTCCTGGACTGTATAAGAACAGGGAAAGTAAGCTGAGCAGTAGGCACATATGCATGCTCTTCGTTCTGCTCCGGAGTGCAGGTGTCATGTGACCAGCTGCTTCAAGTTCCTGTCTCCTTCACTCCCCCACAAGAATGTACCAGTACCTGAACTGTGAGCTGAACCAAATCTTTTCTCCCCTAAGTGGTGTTTTGTCCCTGATGTTCTATCACAACAACAGAAATGAAACTAGAATAAGAAATTATTGCAGTCTAGGAGGGTGGAGGGGTGGAAAGCACACACCATCACACTGCTGCAGGATCTCCTCGGCAGTGTCATCGTAGTGCGCCAAGGGGTTGCTGGCATTTCGGTACTGTGTGGAGGAAGAGAGACTGTGAGCTGTCCGAAACCACCTACATCATACTCGGACACTGGACACTTAGCTTCGTGCTGGCCAGCAAGTCCTACAGCAGCCTAGAGAACCTCATCCAGGGAACCTCACATACCAGATATTAAAAGCAGGTCATCACAGTGTGAGATTAACACAGAAGTGAAATGAACAAGGGACCAGGCCTTGGGGTACAGGTCTTAGACATTCTGCATCTTCAGAGCCCAAGGGTCCTCCGGAAAGGGTAACCCCACCCTCAGTGCTGACCAACTGGGTTGTGTCCAGTGGGACAGCCTTCCAACACTGGCACTGGGCCAGCAGAAACGAAAAGGTCTGCCACAGAGCAGAGCCCTGGAGACCTCCCCAGAGAAAGTACTGTCACCATGTTCATGTTGGGCAGGTACCAATCTCCCAGTCTCCCAACAGGCCGCCATAGGAAACACCACACTTAAGCCCAAATCCCTGACCACAAATTTGCCTCCCAGGGGAACTGGTTTGGGGTGGGAGTGGGGAGACACCTGACCTGATCCAGAATGTGAGAATTGGGGATTTCATTCTTCAGTCGCCATGCCACTCCCACATGAGACTCGGGGGAATCGAACCTGGCATTGGTGGGTGTCCTCACAATCTCAGCTCCCAGAGCCCGCAGCACATCCACCTGTGCATGGAAAACCATGGTTTTATCACTGGGGTTGGTCCCTGTACCTAGGCACCAGCCTAAGTGGTACCCTCCAGGGTGCTGCCCTTTAATCCACCCCAGCTCACCTTTTTTAATTATTTTCATTTTCAGCCAGTAAAGAAAGACTTTTATTACGGGGGGAGGACACAGAGGGCAAAGAGTAAGATTGTATAGCCAAAGCCCCCTACCTCCTTCCCCCCTCCCCCCGCTTGTTTTTTTTTTTTTTTTTTTTTTTTACTCATTTGATACAGCAATAGCCCATCAAGCCATACCCTCCACCTGGGCCACACCCTACGCGCACCTTCTCCATACTCATCTTCTCTGGCATCACGATAATGCATCGATAACCCTTCACAGCAGCGGCCAGAGCCAGCCCGATCCCTGAGAGTCACATGCAGAGGATGAGAGGGACCAGTGCCCAAAACCTTGTGCCTCCCTGCCCCAGCCTGGGACACCTGGCTACCCTCACCTGTGTTCCCAGATGTGGGCTCAATGATCGTGTCCCCAGGCTTCAAGGTTCCAGCTCGCTCAGCATCCTCAATCATTCGAAGGCTGATGCGGTCCTTCACACTCCCACCCGCATTGAAGAACTCACACTTGGCCACTGAAAGCCAAGCATGAGTCACAGAGGGGAGAGGACTCTCTGGATCCCACAGATTGCTGCCCAATACATCCCCAGGATGAGGGCTGGCCTGGGCATCTGCCATTCTGGGCATCTCTGTACCCATTTCCCACCTCTGTACCAGGACATCCCTGGTCACAGCTGGCCTGGCTCCCCCCTGCCTTGCAGATCCATGGCAGTACTAAGTAAATGGGAGAGACAGTGAAGAACCCATGGGAAGAAGGTGGCTGGATTTGAGCCCACACACTCCCACCAAAGCAGGCTGTTCAAGCAGCCCTGTTGGTGGTCTGTCCTAAAACCTAAAGCCTTAGTCCTAAAACCTTGAAGCTCCTGTCACAGTTGCCGCTAACTTCTCCATCCTTAGCTGCCTCCATCACCCTTGGTCAGGTAGCCCAGGCTTTATACTCAGTCCCCACTCCCACCTGGCATCACCTCCTTCCACACTGGACCCTCCCCGCCCTTCTCCAGAATATGCACAGACCACCTTCTTGGTTGGTTCTTGGTTCTGAAACCTACAACAAATAGACTGTCTCCCAAAGTTAGATGAGATTCTGTGGGCACAGAGGGGCTTTGTTTGATGTCTGCTCTCTTGACCGAATGACATCCTCAGATCTGTAACACTGCCCTCCAGGCCGAGCCAACTTAGCCCTTACTCCAGATAATAGCCTAGGCTATGAATGCCCACACCCTTGTTTGGGAACAGCTCCCTGCAAGGAACCCCTTCCTGAATGACCTGCGTTCACCGGGGACCTAATTCCCACTCTTTGTCCCATAAGTGGTTGGGTGACCTGCTAAACTCCATGACAGACAAATGCTGTCATGGCCGTCACTCAGCACATGTAGGACCCTCCACTCCTCCTGAGGCAAAACCACCCCACACAATCTCCACATTGACACACTCCGTCTAATACAGTGCCTCGTGCCTTTAATTCTAGTACTTGGGAGACACGGGCAGGGCAACCTCTGTGATCAAAGCCAGCCTGTTCTACATAGTGAGTTCCAGGCCAGCAAGAACTACACAGTAAAACTTTGTCTCAAAGAAACAAATAAAAAGATACACTCCTTTGGTACCTGGGTTTCACTTCTGCCTGTGACCTCTACAAAACCTTCCCAGGCGAGCTCTTTCACCCCAAGCTTCCCTGGCCATCAGAGAGGGGTCATCTCAATCACCAACATTTGTCCTGTATCCCAGATGACCCCAGGATGGGGGTGGCCCCGGCAGAGCCAGAGACTCACACAGCTCGCACTTGAGTCCCACATTCTTTGAGATCTTGTTGATTCGGACCATGGGGGTGTTCCCAATTTTCCTCAGAATATCTGGCAAAATTTTTGGAGATTTTGTCCTAAAACAGAGAGAGGATGCCAGTAAGAAACAAGACAGAATAGCAGTTGGAGCCCGAGCATCAGGGGCATTTAGGTAATCAAGAATCACAGAACTGCCTCAGGGGAGGTCGTGGGTGGTGGAGTGCCTGGCAGATGCACATGTGACAGAGATCTCACATACACACACACACACACAAACACACACACACACACACACACACACACACACTGAACACCCAAGTACAGTACACCTTAAATTTGAGGGACTGGGCCTCCACATAACTTCTGCTCCCTAGGTCTGAATAGGCCCTTGGGGCTCACGTTATGGATAGGAAGCCAAGTTAGGAACACAGTGTTCTCTATCATTTTGGCAAGTTCGTGTAAATATTAATTTTTATTCCCAGTGGTGGGGGAAATCAAAATACTTGAACATGATGTCACACGTTTGTAACCCCAGCACACAAGAGGCTGAGGCAGGAGGTTTGCTTGGGCAACAAAGTGATTTCACTCTGGGTTACAGAGTAAATGCACAGACCAAAAAAAAAAAAAAGTCGGAAGTTGGTGGTGCACGCCTTTGTTACCAGCACTCGGGAGGCAGAGGCAGGTGGATCTCTGTGAGTTTCCAGGCCAGCCTAGTCTACAGAGCAAATCCCAAAACAATACAGGGAAACCATGTCTCAAAAAACAAAAAACCTAGCCATCCCTATGCCCCTACTCAGACCTAAAACAGCTCAACGTAATTACCCCTCCCACTCCATTAATGACTTGGCCTTCCTAATCTGTCAGAAGAAACATGTGGAGATAAAAGGCCAAAAAGAAGAGCAAGAATCTGCTTGTTTTAAGAGTAGACATGACCACTTGGGGTCTAACCCCTGGGGACTTAAGACATCTCACAGATATGTGGGGCCTAATGCCCATGACTCGGAGCCAAGACTCACCCCTAGTGATTATGACACCTGGCGCCTGAACAAATGGACACTCTCAAGAAAGATATGTGCTATAAAGTTACTTAAGACAGTGGCATTCTGTCTATGTATGCAAGTACAGACCCAGAACAAATGGCCCATGAGGCGAGACCTCTTCCTAATTTGCAGAAAGAGCTGGGAAAGAGACACGCTGTAATCCCAGCAATAGGAGGCAGAGGATATGGATTTCAAGGCCATCCTTGGCTACATAGTGAGTTTGAAGCTAGTTTGGGATACACTGAGACCCTGTCTCAGACATCTTTCCCTAAATATTTTGTAGGGCCCTGCATGGACCCCCAAGGCATTGAGCAAGCCTGAAGCAGTTGGCCAGAACTCCTTGCCCCAAAGCTGTTATTGGTACTCTTCCTGTTGCTATAACATACACACCTCGTGATAACACACACTTCATGGGAAGGAGCTAAGCCTAAAAAAAGCCTGTTATTTTCCACTGTGCTGTAAGTCAGTACTTAAGCCCATTCCATCCCCTCAATAAACAGCATTCAGCGTTCCGACATTGCCATTGAACGAATGACCCGCTGTCTTGTCTCTTTATTTCAATCTCTAGGCCTTCGTCTGATTCATGAAACAGATCATAGCATGGGTGCTACAATATCTCTTCCTCTCAGCCATATATTCCCTCTCTAGGAATTTACATGCTAGACATGGCATATTTCAACAAATTCTCTCTCTCCTCTCTTTAAGCCCAGGTAAATTCTTTGACCTTTCCAGATGCTATTTCCCCTAGCAGCAAGCCACTGTCTCAAACTAAAAACTGCCAGGCGCCTGTAATTCTTGCACTTGGGAGGCTGAGGCAGGAGGACTGCTGTGAGTTCAAAATCCAGGCCAATCTAGGGTATGTAACAAACAAACCCTGGCTTTGAAACAGTAGACCCAACATCCACCTAGAAATAGAAAGTCTTCCCTGAGAACCCTCGGTTTCCAGCCCCCAGAAGACTTTTCCCTTTCCATTCAATTCCCTAAGCCACTGAGGTTACCTCCCTCTCAGGAGTGTGTCCTTGCTGCTGATATCCTCAGATATCTGCCACCTGCCAGTGGCACATACCCCAGATTCCCCAGAAGCCCTGGCATTACAGGGCCGGCAAGGCAGAAGTGGTACATGGAAACAAAAGGCCCAGCTGGCCTGTGGTGGCACACGGCTTTAATCCCAGCACTTGGGAGGCAGAGGCAGAGCAGAAGGATCTCTATGAGTTCAAGGCCAGTCTGGTCTACAGGTCTACAGAGTGAGTTCCAGGACAGGTAGGGCCATACAGAGAAATTCCGTTTCAAAAAAAAAGAAAAGAAAGGAAGGAAGGAAGGAAGGAAGGAAGGAAGGAAGGAAGAGAAAAAGAGAGGAAGGAAGGAAGAAAAGGAAAGGAAACAAACAAACAAACAAAAGGCCCAAGGCTGAGCTATTCATACTTGCCTCTGGGGACAGGGCTATGGCCCAGTGATAAGTCAAGCCTGTGGCTTCAGAGCTGCTCTGTAGCATTTTAATGACAGCACAATGTGACCAAAGCAGTTTCCCGAATAGGCCCTATATGGCTGTCCCTCCACAGGCTCAGGGGTGGCTACACGTCCATGCACTCCCCGCCTATGCCCGCACTCATCCACCCTGCGCCCCACACCCAGACTTCAAGGCTGCCAGGCTGCTGGGCCCTGGCTTCCTGCCTGCCAGCCCCAGGCTTCTCACACCGGAGCCAAACTGACTAAATAGAAGCCTCAGACACCTTTGGGCCCTGGTCAGGGGAGGAGTAAGGAATCTGGAGTTCCAGGGTGGGAGAAGCTGCTTGGGTGCCAACGGGCAGCAACAGGCTAGACTCCAGCCAGGTCTGCCAGAGAGGCACACTCTTACTTTGTGGAAGGGTTAAGCGTACTCCTTCCCAGGCCGTCTTTGGCTGGGCTCAGGAAAGTGGAGATAGGCTGGAACAAGGCCAAGAGCTCATGACCCTCAACCCCATGGAGGTGACACAGGCTGGAGACTCAGGTGTGCTCACTCAGAAAGCTGTCAGATGTTTGTACAGGTGATGGCTTAGATCTGTCACCCGACCCAACAGCCACTGGACCTCAGAAACCCCAATTCACCATCAGGGCTGCCCGCCCACCTGTCTGTCCCTCACCCTGAAGCCCTCACATCAGGAACATCTGGAACTGTCTGGCTTGTCTCGTCCTATTCAACATGTCCCATCTTTCTCTCTGCCCATATCTGGTGCCATACCGGGTTCCCTGAGCCAGTGCCTCCCTGCAGGGACCTCAGTCTAGTGCCTGAGCCTTCCCTTGGGCTTGCCCCCTGGTCCTCCAAGGACTTCTGACAAACTGCTGGTCAGGTGAGGACAAAGCTGCCCTGAAGGCTGATGTGTACCACACACGTCTTTGAACAAGCAGTTCCCAGGCCTTCAGAAGCCCTGGGGAGTTAGTTCTCCTGCAGCCACAGGCTCTTCCCCAATGCCATGTTGTCAGCTCATCTGACTAGCCCCCACCTTGTCTCTTAAGCTACCAGAACTGGAGCTCATTCAATGGGCAAGGCTTCTAGTCCTTGAAAATGCTGCCTCCCATACCTGCCCAATGCTTGCTCTGACTTTTGAACCAATAACCATAAATGTTGGTGGCCACACACAGAGAACAAGACTCTAAGATTTAAAACACAAATCCTTTCACCCACTTGTTCTAATCTGAAGACATTAGACTAAGGAAATGAAGCTAATCCTAAAGGCTTTTACAATAGGGCAGGAACCTGCATGGCTCCATCCTGGGCACTTAGAACAGGGTGTGACACAGGGCATGCTCCTAAGTGGACTCCTGACTATGTGTGGAATGGTTTCTGGTTGGAGCTATTTCAAATAAAGCCATGGCAGATATCTATCAGTGCCATTGACAGTCTTTGCCCAACCATAAATGGAACCCATCAGAGCCAAACACTCAGTACATGTGAGCTATAGTTCAAAGAAACCTTGGCCATGGGCCTGGCCTACACTGTTTCAATCCTCCTCTCCCAGCCCCCACAGTGATCACAGAGCAGGGGATCCCACTCTGAGTCTGGTAGCTGTATGGGCTCCATTCCCCTGCCCTGCCTCTCAAGGTCAAGGAAACAGGCCCACCAACTTAGGATCAAAGCCAAAAGACTTACAGCTCTGTGGGTTCTGTGTGATGATGCGGGGAGTCTGCCACGGGCCTGCCCAGCTGCCAGGTACATCGGCTCGGGGTATCAGGTGGGATCCACAGGCGCTCACTGTCCCCTGAAGAGCCCTTCTCTAGGTGCCCTTTTCCTGAGTGCTCCTCCAGGGGCTGGGGGCATCCTGCAGAGCCATCTTCACACTGGGATGTCCCTGAAGGCATGCTGGGCTCTATCTGTAGAGGGAACAGAGTCTGTTGTTTTAGAAGTTGGCTCGCACATCCCCTGTAGGAGTGACTCAAACAAATCCATCAAGGACGGGAGAAAAGGTGCAGGTTCCAGCTGCTGTGGAAAATGGTTAGATTCAGAAAGTTAAACAGAGAGTTACCATATGACCCAGCAATTCCACCCCAAGGCAGAGAGCCAAAAAAAAAAAAAAAAGGAAATAATAGCTTGTCCATTCTCATGGCAGCCTTGAGAGCCAAAAGGTGAACATCACCCAAGATCACGGATGAATGAATGCACAAAAATGTGTTCCATCCATGCAATGGAATACTATTCAGCCACAAAACAGGATAGACGGGGCCTGTGGAGATAGTTCAGCAGTTAAAAGTGCTTGCTTTGAAGTCACGAGGAGTGGAGTTCAGATCTTAGCACACATACAACAAGCAGGGCAGGCCAGGCGGTGGTGGCGCACGCCTTTAGAGGCAGGCAGATCTCTGTGACCAGCTTTGGTCTACAAGAGCTAGTTCCAGGAGAGCCTTCAAAGCCACAGAGAAACCCTGTCTCAAACCCCCCTCCCAAAAACAAGCAGGGTGTCCCATGCACACCCACCCAGACATAGACACAAATAAGTTAAATCTCTCTTTAAAAAAAAAAAAAAAAAAAAAAAAAAAGGAATGGATGAACTCTGAAAACATAATGTTAAAAGGAAAAAGTCAATCATAAAATAAATTTAATTTCTAGAAATGCCCAGAATAACCAAATGTCCTGGGATTTGACATATGAGAGAGACCTAGAATAGGGAAACCAATAGGAACACAGCATAGAGGACACCAGAGGCAAGATGTGCAGAAAGATGTGATCTTTGTAATGCACAGGGGCTTCTGAGATGGCAAAAAACCACGAGGCTGGTCCTATTTTCATTCTGTAGCTATAATAAAACATACTGAAGGGAGGAGGGTTTATTTCAGTCACAGTTCCAGGTTACAGCCCATCATTTCAGGGAAGTCAGGGCAGGAACTATTGCAGCTAGTCATTACATCCACAGTTAACAGCCGGGTCTTTCACAGTTCAGGACCCCCTGTCTAGAGAAGACAATTCTCTACAGACATGCCCCCATGTCTGACCTAGGTAGTTCCTATGCTGACCCCGCATCAGCTGACTCTAAACTGTGTCAAGGTGACATTTGACACTAGCTAAAACCTTGTATAGACAGTGATAGCAGTTGCACAATACTGGAGATAAAGTGACAAGATACTGCCCCTACAGTGCCCCTACATTGACCATTTCTGCAGTTCAGACTAAACTGCAGATTAAAATTATTCAGATGTCAGATGTGTAGTTTGGTAGAAGAGGACACAGTGGCTGGCAAGTGCCAGGCCCTGGGTTTTATCCCCTTGGTTTTTTTTTTTTTTTTTTTTTTTTTAAGGAAGAAAGTTGCTTTAAATTTAAAAAAAAAAAAAACAAGGTGTGATGGTGCATGCCTTTAATCCCAGCACTCGGTAGACAGGGGCAGGTGGATCTCTGTTCAATGCCAATTTGGACTACATAGAAAATTCCAGGACAGCCAGGGCTATGTAGAGAGATTTACTAGTATGTATGGATGTTTTGCCTGAATGTATGTATATGCACCATGTGTGTGCCTGGAGCTCTTGGAGGCCAGAAGAGAGTGTCAGATCCCCTGGAACTGGAGTAACAGGTAACTATAAGCCACCAGGGTTCTCTGCAGGAGCATCAAGAGCTCTTACCTACTGAGCATCTCTCCACATACCCCAACATCTGTTTGCCTAACAACCATTCTGGGGTTCTAAGTAATCTAAGTCTGATTTGAAGTTTGTGAGAAGGAAGGATGCCCATGTGGGACCACTCTCCATAGACCTGGAGAAAAGACCACCATTATGTTATGTATATTTAACCCACAATTTACAACAAAGAAGAACAAATCCAGACACCTGGCCCATACCTGTAATTCCAAGAGGTAGAAGCAGGAGATCAGAGGTTCAAGGTAAGCCTGTGAAATTTTGTCTCAAAGTGTGTGTGGGGGGGGGGAGGGTTGGAGGAATAAACTTCCTTTGTAAAATATAAGAGACAGGCCAGGAGGTGGTGGAGCTCACCTTTAATCCCAGCAGAGGAAGACCAATCTCTTTGAGTTCAAGGCTAGCCTGGTCTACAGAGCTGAGCTCCTGGACAGGCTCCAAAGCTACACAGGGAAACCCGGTCTCAAAAAGACCAACCAAACAAACAAAAAACACAAGAGAAAGAAGCTGACACTGGGTACCCACAAGTTTGCACCAAGACTGATCAGAAAGCCAGAGACCCCACTTCAGCAGACATAGGTGAGCTGATGCCTAATACCCTAGAACAGATAGATACAACCGTGTGATGGGGCACTGAACATCAAGCCTGAGGCCAGCAAAAGTCTGGAGTTCAAGCTTAACCTGGGCTGCATAAACTGTAAAGGAGGAAAAGAACGAGGGGCCAAGCACTCCCAAGTGAAATCAAGATCCCTATCCCACCTCACTCGCGACCTTTTGGGATGGGGGGCTACGTTAATCAAAGACTTGCCGCCACCTCAGCCCCCAAGGAACTGCTCTGAGGACACCGCAGCGTCCCGCCCAAGATCCGTCCCCAAAGTGCCCTCCTGCGGTGCCCCTGGCTGCGAAATTCTCCAAAAAGCCATGCTTGGGAGGGTGGCCCAAAGCCATCCCTCAAGTTACCTTTGTCGAACAGGAAGCCACCGTGCGACCCGAAGCAGAACTTGTCTTGAAGAGCATGCCCCAGGGCATCCTGCGTGTCTCCCACCCCCGCCCCGCTCCGCACCAAGCACAGAACCTGCTCTCCCGCGCAGCAGCCACCGGGTGCGCCACTACTTCAATATTTACCCCACCCGGCACCAGGGCTCAAAAGAACAATTTGCGAAACAGTAGTCTCCATCCAAAACGGGAAATCGATGACTGGTATTAGGGCAGCGCGTCACCCTAAAACCTGGCTCCACGCTCCTGAGACTCGCGGTCGTGGGGTCCAGGATCACGTGGGTGCTCAGCATAGAGCTGCCGGGAGGTCGATACTTGTGGGAACCGGGAAAGGGACGCAGGGTGGCAGAGGACGGCAGAGCGCCCCCGATGGGGTCACGGGGATTTTAGCGACCCGGAGCACCCGGCTCTCAAGCTGGCACTGCTTTGAGCTTTCAGGTGCCGCTGATGCCAAGTCTGCGCGCAGGGGTGGGGAGCTCCCGCGTGGCACTGAACCCCAGCGGGGACCTCACTGTGCGCGGCACGCTTACCTGGACTCAGGCAAGGGAAAGCGGCTCCGGCTGGGCTGGAGAGTGAGCAATGACAAAATCACCGCTCAGATTGGGACCTGGTGGGTGGCCAGTCTGGCACAGACCAGGAGGCTCACTGCAGATGTACGCGATTGGCCTCGCGTTGGGGGCGGAGGACCAGCACCCGCCAATCCTGGGCCGCAGAGCTGCCGCCCACCCACCCCACCCCCAAACCCCACACCCCCGTTTCCCCTCCCCACCCCCACCTCTCTTTTCCTTCCCACCCCACCTCCACTCTGGCTCTGAAAGGGGCTGGCTGGACGCCTCACATCCACACCCGTGTGTCTTTCTGGTATTTAAGAATTCAGGGAGATGCATTCGAAAGTTCAGGAAGCTCTATCGCCTAACACACTGTGTTAGTCACCAGAAGGGGGCCTGGGGCTGTGCCCAAAGGTCTGCACCCTGCGGCACAGGTGGCCGAGTATCAAGGAGCCTCGTTTTCCAGAACCCGTTTTGCCCGAGGACGTACCTCGTGAGGCTTCCTGGTTTGGCATGCTCGGGTCACGCGTCACTGCTCGCCTGATGCTTGCAGAAAAGTGCCCATAGCTCTCCCAAGCAACGGGCCTGGCTCAGTGGTGCCACGGAAAGGACGCCCCGATATCCATAGAGGTTAAAATGGATGTGGTGGAGCATGCCTGGACTCTCAGAGGATCTCGAGTTTGAGTTCGAGGTCAACCTGGGCTACATAGAGTCCTTGAGCAGGGGAAGCAAACACATAATTAACAGGTTGATTTTGACTCGGTTTTTTTTTTTTTTCGGTTGTTGTTGTTTGTTTTTAGTGTTTATTTTTCGAGACAGGGCTTTTTCTGTGAATACCTGGCTGTCCTGCAGAATAACAGCTGGCTTCGAACTCTTGCTGTAATTTTGAAAAGCAGCACAAGAGAAAGACACCATGCGACAAAGCTTGGGTGGAGTTTTTTTTTTTGGGGGGGGAGTGGGGAAGATAGAGGGGAGACCAGCCAGCCTCTGGAGACAGGAGGGGGGGTGTGGGGAGAGAGAGAGGACAGAGGCAGGGAGAGAAGGATGGGAGGTGGGTAGGGCCCTTTTAAAAGGGAACTTAGTGAATGTGCACAAGAGGTGCTCTTAGTGGCTGCTGCTGAGGGCAAATCCTGTCAGGACCCCAGGACAGGCCAGGACAGATGCCTGTCCGGTGGTGGTGGCACACGCCTTTAATCTCAGCACTACAGAGGCAAGGCAGAGACAGATTAATATCTGTCTCTGCCAGAGACAGCCTGGGATACAAAGTGAGTTCCAGGACAGCCTCCAAAGCTACAGAGAAACCCTGTCTTGAAAACCAAAACCAAACCAAAACAAATTTATTTTGTCTGGTGGTGGTAGCATATGCCTTTAATCCCTAGCAGTCAGGAGGCAGAGGCAGGCGATCTCTGTGGGTTCGAGATCAGCCTGGTCTACAGAGCTAGTTCTAGGATAGCCAAGGCTACACAGAGAAACCCTGTCTCAGAAAAAGAAAAAAATATATTGGGCACTTTTGTAGGTGTGTATGTCTGTTCACCATGTATGTGCAGTGCTCACAGGAACCCGAAGAAGATGTCAGATCCCCTGAAACTGGAGTTCCAGATTATTGTGAGCCACCATGTTGGTTCTGGGAATTGAACCCTTGGGTCTTCTGGAAGAGGGGTCAGTGCCCTTACCTGCTGAGTCATCTCTTCAGCCCTGTTTTTAGCTTCTTGAGACATGGTATCAAGCTCCAACTCCTGATCTTCCTGTCTCCCCAAAGCTGGATTGAAGATCTGGGCCACCAAGCACATCCACAGGTGACATTTGATCAAAGGGGCCACATCTTGTTCCAGGGAGAAGTCTTCTGGGCTGGAAAATGTAAGTGCTTAGGGCAAGAGCAAGGTGGGTCTGAGAACAGGGTGCCAGCCTAGAAGGAAGCTGGAGGGGAGGGAGAGGGGTGGAGCTTGGGATGGAGATAGAGATCAGCATGGGAGAAAGAGGCTTTCTGTTAGGGTTTTAGCATACTGAGTTGTGTTGCCTTCCAGTATAACTTATTCTGTCAAGCCAAAGGCAAGAACACTAACAGGAATTTCCAGGAACCCTTCTCCTGAGTGTTGGCCTATATTTAAAAATCCAGTCTTGGAGTTGGAGAGATGGCTCAGAAGTTAAGAGCACTGGTTGCTCTTTCCAGAGGACCTGAGTTCAATTCCCAGCCTCCACATGGCAGTTTACAGCCTGATGCACTCTTCTGGTCTGCGGGTATACTTGAAGTCAAAGCACCTCTATACATTTAAAAAAGAAAATCTTAAAAGAAAAAAAAAAAGTAAATGCATATATCCAGGTCTTAGGGCATGTGATTTGATCACATCCATGCTAGTAGCTTAAATCCACGATGATAGGTCCTTAAGAGGAGAATTTGGATGGAGAATAGCCCTGTAAGGATGCAGACATGCATTGAAGTTATGGTGGACAAGACACAAGCAGCCAGGACCACTTGCCCCTGGCTGGCTGTCATCTCAAACAGAGAGGAAGAGGCCAGAAGACGACCTTTCCCAGTTTCCAGCAGCCTTTGTGTGCGCAGCATGAGTGTGTGTGCGTGTGTGTGTGTATGCGTGTGTGCATGCGTGCATGTGTGTGTTTGTGTGCTTGCATTTCTGTCCCATGCAAGTGGGGACAAAAACAAAGGTTTAAGTCAAGTTTCTGATAATTTGTATTGTAATTTTTTAAAAAGGGGTGAGAGAAAGATGCCTTAAGACAGAACTTGGGTGGAGGGTTTTTTTGTGGGGGAAGAGAAGACAGAACTTGGGTGGAGGGTTTTTTGTGGGGGAAGAGAATGGGAGAAGGGGAGAGGATAGAGGGGAGACCAGCCTCTGGGAGCAGCAGAAGAAAAGGGAGAGGCAGAGAAGGAGAGAGGAAGGGGGGGGGAGGGAGAGGGCGAGGAGAGAGAGGGAGGAAGAGAGAGAGAGGTGGGCAGGGCCCTTTTAAAAGGCAAAGTAATGTATGTGCACAGTGGTGCTCTTAGAGGCTGCGGCTGGGGCGTATCCTGTCAGAACCCCAAGGACAGGCCAGTACAGATGCCTGAATACTAATATTTATAGTGTCTCATTTTATTGAAAATTGACAGTCTTGACTTGATTTCAGACTGCCAGAAAAGAGGTGAGAAAAAAGTAGGGAGAAGTAAAGAAATGCCAAGAGACTTTCATACAGACTTTCCCTCATATTTCCCTCTGCCCCGTCTCCGTCTCTCTCTCTCACTGTGTGTATCTTCCTCTATCTCTCTCTCCTTCACACACACACACACTCACACACTTACAGTTTCTCTCTCCCCACACACTCTCACACACACACTCATGCCATCTGAGCTGCTGAAGCAAGCTGTAGACAGGTGATACACTGTCCTAGTTTGCTCTCTGTTGCTATGAAGAACACCATGACCAAAGCAACTTGGGGAAGAACGGGTTTATATGGCTTACAGATTACAGTCCATCTTTGAGGGGAGTCAGGGCAGGAACAGGGGCAGGAAACTGGATGCAGGGACTGACACAGAGGGGAAAGCTGCTTACTGGCTTGCTCAGCCTGCTTTCTTATAGCACCTCAGGACTACCTGCCCAGTGGTAGCATCACCCACAATAGGCTGGACCATCCCACATGTCATTAATCCAAAAAACTCCCCACAGGCCTACCCAAAGGCCAATTTGATGGAGGCATTTTTTCATTTGGGGTTTCTTCTTCGCAGATAACTCTAGATGGCATCAAATTGACAAAAAATAAAACAACAAAAACAAAAAACAAACTAGCCAGCAGTCATCTTTTCCCTTCAATACTTGATTATTTCCTAAAAACAGGACCGTTCTCCATACCCACAATACACCTGTCAAATCAGGAATTTAACATGGTCACAAACTGTGCCCCACCTAGCTGCTTGCCATTACTCAGCGGCCCCAACATTGCCCTCTGCCAAGTCCCTGGGTTTGTGCCCCCTTCTTATCTGGAGCCGTTCCAAGGTTACTCTGTGTCTGAGGAAGAGGAACATTTTTGAAGTGCCCAGGACAAGCAGTTTTGCGGAATCCATTGATTTTGATTGTATGCTTTTCCCTCCTCTTGGCCAGACCTTTTCCCTCCTTGGCTTTTGTGTGAAGGCCATGAAAGGGATACTGAATTTATGTCAGGGATTGTATTGTCTCCTTGCTGATGCTAAGTTTTTGTTTTGTTGAGACAAGACTTCATGTAGTCCAGACTGACCTTAAATCTACCATTGCTATGTAGCCAATGGTGACCTTGAACTTCTGGACCTGTCTCCACCTCCCGAGTTCTGGGGTGACAGTTTATATGGTGCCAGTCTTCACACACTCTTGGCCAGCATGCTGTCACCTGAGCTCCATCTCCAGCTCTGGTGCCAACTGGGAGAACATGGCTGGGGTAATGCACTTTTCTGTCTCTCTGAGAAATTCCTCTGCCACTTGTTGTAATTATTCAGTATCTTGTGGGGAGACTTAATAACCATGGAGATACTTTGGTCTTTCACATTCTAATATCAACATTGAAGCAATTTTTTAATTGACAATTGTCACCAAATGATGTTTTAACCACATCACTCTTGCTACATTAATCATCGGTCCTCATTTGGTAAGAGTTGTCCTCCCTCACAGATCATTAATTGTATACTTTTTTTTTTAAATCAAGCAGAATTTTATTATTCAAACTGCAGCATGGGTACTTATTAATTTTTATAGAATATCCCTATATAGGCTAGGCTGACCTCAGACTTGGAGTCCAATGCTGCCCCCCCCACCTCTGCTCACAATGACATTTGAAATAAACACAATAGTCTTTAGTATTCGAAGAGTTGGGAGACTGTCATAACAATTTAATTTCAATACTTGGTCAACTCTGAAGGACATCCAGCACCACTGCCATCACTCCCTACCCTCCATGTGTGACAAGTCACAGGTCTGGATGAGAGGACAGAGGCAAAATGTGGACCCTTAACCTGCCCCTGGTTAAAATCATAGTTTGTGTCTCTCTACTTCTGTCCTATACTCTCC